TTGGCTGTTGCCCGTCGGAGATTGATGTGGGCCGAATGGCAAGGTGGGTCGCGGCTCGTCGCGACAGCTGCTGGAGGCAGGGGTTTGAGTCGTTCGAGTCACGCCACCACCGGTAGACGAGAATTCAGACGAGGACTTGATCTCTGTTGCAGATGACATTGGTAACCCTGGTGTTTGAGTACCAACGGTAGACGGGAGTTCAGACGACGACGTTGCTATCCCTGGTCTTTCGTCGTTCGTCCCTGTTTCATCGTTCGTCCCTGTTTCAGCAATCGTGCCTGTTTCAGCAATCGTGCCGGATTCAGCAATTGTGCCGGTTTCAGCGATCGTCTCGGAGGTAGCAATCGTCCCTGTTGCAGAAATCATTCCAGAAGTAGCAACCGTGCCGTTCGCAGCAATGTCGGAGGCAGTTGGTGTCAAAGATGGAGTTGCAACACTACTCGAAGGGACAACCATGGAGCATGCCGGATTGCCGTAGGATGTACCACTTGGACCGTACGCATCTGTACCGGGAATGACATTAGTAGCTACGCTCCACGACAATCCCGCGTCCGGCGCTCCAAAGTTGTTCAGTTGGATGGCACGGCCTCGGTCGGGCGTGGGCCAAGGATAACTCGCATTGTACGTGACGCCCGCGCAGGGGCTGCCGCTCTTGAAGATTTTAACATAACCACCACTTGACGCGAGTACAGGTTGTGCAGTATTCCAAGTGTAATGGAGAGAAAGTCCCAGGCCGGAGTTGCTCGAGTCGCTGATGATTGGTTGTCCCGCAACACGAGAGCCGAGCAATATGCAGCCGTACCCAGGCACAACGAGCGAAGTGCCGATTATCAGTTGGGTTGATTTGAACAGGAATTGTAGGCTTTGCAGGTCGATAGGTTGGCTCCCGACATTGGAGAGTTTCAAGTAGACTGCTTTTTGGTTCCAGCCGTTGTTGTAGATTTCCGAAACAACAAGATTTGTGCAAGACGCCGGGGAAGGAGAAGGCGTTGATGACGACGCTTGCAACGAAACAGACGACGACGACGACGACGACGACGACGACGACGCCAAACAGGACGAACAGGCGCAAAACGGCCGGCCAAAGCTGGCGGATTGTGGATCGGCCACATCTGTTCCGGGGATGATGTCGGTGACGTCGGCGGTCGTCCAGGACCATCCGACACTTGGATCACTCTGGGTGTCGTTCAGCAGGATGGACACGCCAGGCGGAACGTTCGGCCACGGCGCCGTCACAGAGTATGAGATTTCCGTGCATGTGAAGGGTCCGCTGAGAATGCTGATTGTGTCGCCTGTTGCACTCAGACCTGAAATTTGCGGGTCCCAGGCCCAGTCAACCCTGATGCCAAGGCCCGGAGCGGAGCTGTTGAAGGGCGAGTTTGCGGCGAGTGAGCTTGCCAGGATGGCACACTCGCCACTCTGGAGGAGCAGCGACGTCGACAATGTTGTGTGACTTGATGAGGAGGCTGTTGCCAGCGTCAGGCCTTGCAGGTCGATCGTGGTGGCACCCGTGTTGGTGAGCTTGATGTAACGGAGCCCGTCCTTGATGGAAGCGGCCACTTGTGCGGGCCGGAAGAGGATTTCCGTCACGAGCAGGCTTGAGCATGCCATGTTGGCAGCAACCTCTGCAGAGACGATGCTGATGGCGGCGGTTGCGATGGCGATGGCCAGGAGTGCGATGGCCAGGGAGGCGGCCGGGACGCGCATGGCTGAAACCGCAGCTTGACGCGAAACGAATGTCGGCAAATGCAGGTCGACATTCAGGAGAGGAGAGGGGATCCCCCGTGTGTGTGTGTGTGTGTGTGTGTAAACAGGACAAAAGTCGGATTTGGGAACATGTCAAAAAGTCAGATTTGGGAACATGTCAAACGTCAAAAAATAGCATTGAAAAATAAAATGAAACGAAAAAAAAAAAAAAAAACAGAACAAAAACAGCGGTGTT